TTTAAAAATATATACACATATATATTCCTATACTTCTAACACATCCTGAATATTTTGGAATTGAAAAAACAGTATTCTCTCCTGAAAGCAAGATAAAGTGATAATGTTGTTAATGTATCATTGGTAAGAAAATTAATACTGCTCAACATCTAGGAACACTTTTCTTTGTAATAAGCACCAGAGTCTCAAGTTCACCAGAAGTGTGCCAGTGTAAATCTGAACAGAAAAATCCTTGTGACATCTTTGTGACTCATGTAGATGCATTTCATGTTCTCTGTAGAGTTGTTTTGGTTTTTCTTTTTTTTCCCTCTGAGCTCATTTGGATTGCTAAATAGCACAGCATTGGTTCTCTCTTTAAAGTAGTTTAGACATACTTTAAATTTGACTAGCATCTGAATGAAAATTACCCTACTAAAATGGGACCTTCAAAAAGCTTTGAATCTTCAGCAAAAGCACAGAAACATGCACTATGCAAGCAAGGCTTTGTTTGACTATGCAATTTCATGACTGTGCCATTATTGGCTATATTTTGCTTGCATATAGATATAATTTACCCCTAAAACCTATCTTTAGCTGGTATTGGTGTTCTGGATGTTACTTTGTACTTTTCCAAAATTTTTCCTTTCCTTCATTTGGTACAGAGTCATACAGAAATCTATCCACAACTGTGGGACATCTCTGAAGAACAAATTCTTAGAAAATTGTCTTTTTCCCAAATGGATAGAAGATGGCGCATATACTAAAAGACTCTCTCCCTGGCATATTTCAGCTAAAACTAAGGGGTTTAATTAATATGGTCCATTATTTCTTCAAAGATAAAATTTTTAAATGTATCTTTTTTGTAGTCTCATACGTATAACATGGAATTTTGCTGTCCACTTGAGCTTTTTTTATACACAGGCACAGATTATTTTGGTATGAGGATTTTTGTTTCTGAGCACCAAGTATCACCATTCATTTTGCTCTGAAAATTACTACACTAATATTAAGCAATTCAGATCATAGCAGTGATAACTTCTGTATGAGAGTCCTGAAGCTTTCTACAAAACCCAAGTGGAGAGGCATAGCAATGGAGGCCTACAGGTATCAATGTCAAGGCAGTCATTTGATCATATCATACCTGAGCACATTTCCTTTTATGGGTAGAGGTAGGGTTGGTTTTAATTGTTTGGCACTTAAATACAATGAAAATATGGTTCCGGTTGAGACCTGATGTTTTATAGTTCCATATATAGAATGCAAGTGGAACCACTAATGTAAGGTTTCTCCCCATTTGTATTTCCAAGTACATGGGCCTACAACTAATAGTACATCAGAAATACTGGCTACTGCACTTCACATAGTGACCAGAAAGCAGGAGAGAGAGAGGGTGCCCAGAGTCACACGGCTTTGCAGTCCACCAAACTAAAGGCACAGTACCATGTTAATACAGCGATATTTAAGGATAACGTCTCAGTTTTCGGCATAGCACAGCCAACATCACAGTGTACAGCCCATCAAAGAGTTCATCACAACGAGCTCCATGTCTCTAGCCTTCACGAACACTCTCACAGAACTGGCAAATGGAAAAAAGGAAATTTTTTTTTCTTTTTTTCCTTTTTTCCAAATCAGAAGAAAATTAGGAGAAAGATGCACTACTCCATTTACTTCCATCCAGTCTGCATCTTGGAAGAGATGCTTGGTTCTGTGAAACTGCCCCAGACTGAGCTGTGTGTGAGTTCCCCCCCAGCTGCTATATCTGCGCTCCTGGGAGCAGATGTCCTGTTAAGTTGTTTGGACTTCGTATGCAGCAGCTTGGCAAGCAACTGAGTATGATATATTGATATTATTAACTAACAGCTATACTTTAAAGAGTAAGCAGGCATAAAATAATAAGGATTTAAGGCACTACTAAAAAGTGACTTAAAGAAGGATTTGCATGTTCAGCAGCAGACCCTTTTTTACAATTACATCAGTCCAAAAACGGCATGTTCCTTCTCTATAACTTTGTTTATGGTCCAAGATCATCAAATAAGAATGCTACTGCTGGTTAACAGTAGCAACTCTAATTAAAACTACTTTTTTCTCAGGTGGTGTACCCTAAAAGTAAAACATCTACCTTTAAGACACAGGTTAAACTCTAATAAATTTAATGTCTATTTAAGACGTCTTTAATCAAGAACAGAAAAGTGCATTTTTCTCCACAGTGTGCACACTTGCAAGAGATTGAATGTGAACAACACCCCAAGGAAGAACTTCATTAAGATACCCATAATAGTGATTTTTTAAAAATATTTTTATTTTTTAAATCCAATGACTAGGTGAATAGGAAGGGAATCAAACCACCAAAGCAGGAATCTCAATTACCTGCCTAAAGATTTGTGTGTCTGGGGCGCTCACATTATATTCACTTTATATCTCACTTGCATGCTTTTTACCCTGCTCCCCTTCTTTCTGCTTCTTAAGTAAGCTACTTTTTGCTGACAATTCAAAACATTTCTGTTCAAAGCTGAGTTGTGAGTCTTAGAGATTTTGCATCTGAACAGTAGTTCATTCCACTCCATTTTATAAAGGAGACTTCAGAGACTATGAGTCACTGTGCCATTGCAGCTGTGACTTTGATACCAGATTATTTTGTGTGTGTGTTTATATGCAAAAACATTGTTTCTTAGGACCATGTGCTAGTCTTTATTTATTGGTATGATCTAAGTATTTCCAGAACATCCCATCTGTTGATCAGGAGTTTGTAGAGAGGGCTCTTTCTCATATGTAGTTCCCCTTCCCTCTTCTCCCCACTATTAACACTCTCTCAACCTCCCCACTATTAGGAATGACACACAGAGAAATTTCTGCAAGACAAAATGAATCATGAAGATACTGTCCATGCCAGGACAAATTTCCCTCCTCTGAGATCAGCAACTGTGCTTGGCACTTCAGGTCCATGTCTAAACTCTTAACCCTTAGAGGTTTAACCTCTTAAGCCACAGAGGCCTGAATGAAGAGAGACACACATATCCAAATGCTTGCAATCAGTGGCACACTTTGGCCTGTCACAAAATAACTGCCAGTTGGGTCTTATATTGCTTGTCAGGTTGGGGTTTTTTTGTATTTTTGGTTGGTTGGTTTGTCTTTTTGGGTTTTTGTTGTTGTTGTTGTTTTAACTAAATTATTCTAATTTTTGACCAGCTGGAAGGGTCATTTATTGCCACAGTTATGGGGGCACATACACAACTCCTTTGCAAAGAGGTATTCTAGCAGTCACTTTTACGCAGTTTGCCACAAGGTTTCAAAAATAATTTTCAAATGCTAAGTTCTGGCTTTAGTCTAAAGTTGGTCTTTGAAATCAAGATTGACAGTTAAGTCATAGAAAGATTTACAAGCCCATTAAAGAAAAAAAGAAGATAAATACGAACATGCAATAACATAAAATCCAGTTAGCTATACATGGGTACATAATCTCAGATAAATTAAAAACCCCAAAACTACAAAAAAACAAAGTTAGAAATCAACACCCCCTTATTCTTATTTTGTTCCACAAAATCTTTGGATTTTTTCAGGGAAACAAATAATAAAAATCAATTCAATACATCAGCAATTCAAAAAAATTGTAATATAAATTACTGTCTCTTGTAATATACAACTACATTGTGATGTAAATTAATATATGTTATGGTTTAATTTATATTAAATATATCAATGAGAATAAAAATATTTAGGATACAGCCAACTACTGTAACAATTTCTTCTGGTGCAGTTTTAATACTAGAGTTTTTAGAATATTATTAAAAATAATTGTATGTCTCGGTTCCACTATTCCACTTATCCCTTTCATTTATTATAAAATTCAGATTAATTTTGGTAGGGTTTTGTTTTGTTTTGGGTTTTTCTTTGTTTGTTTTGGTTTTTTTCAAATGGTGAATGAATGAGAAGAGGAAATTATTTTCAACTACAGACAATCATATATTAAATAGTGAAGTAACATTAGTTTTGAAGTTCTCATTTCAGAAGTCTCACAGACTGAGCTAAGAAAGATCCAAGAGTTATAGATATATTTCTCTCCATACGAGAGAGCCAGCTTTCTTGCTCTAACGTTAAAAATCATCCTCTGCTCGAACTCTGCTTGCCAATGTAAACCACACTACAATCTGCCGTGGATTCTACGAGACGTACAGCCCCTTTTCTAGATCTTTGCAATTCACACAAATGTCCTGTGGATCTGCTAGGTCAGCACAAGATTATCTGTGTCGTTTGAATCCTGCATTATGGCCACTGGAGCTGAAGGGCACAGGCAAAGCTGCCATGCAGGGAGGCTCACCGCAAACACAGGCAGGGGCCTGGGCACAGCCTCGCTGCTGAGGGTGAAGGAGGAAAGGCAAGACAATGGGACGTGTGTACCTGGATCCACTAGTTATGTTATTCTACACCACTGCATACTCTGAATCATTCAGTACAATGGCACTGTATGAAGCCTAACTAATGTAAATGTCCTTTATTCACATAGATTCTGATTGAAAGTTATTTTTAACCTTGAGAAACTCCCCAATACAAATAAATTGCGTATTTAATTTCTTTTCAAATATCCTTTCCGCAAAGGAACACTTTATTTATGTTTGATGGAATAATTCAAGCATTTTTTTCTGTGCAATATCAAATGCTGTTACATAAATATTTTGAAATTAAAATAGTTGAAAAGCTGCAATGATGGCATATACTAAAGGAAAGGCTGATGTTGGGGGGGCACAAGTTAGATTTTTAACACTCACATATGATAAGTATCAGCATATTAGCCAGCAGTTCCATAATCACACCCACTTGACCACTTACCACCAGTTTAGTCCCACCAGTGGTCCACTTAAGCTATAAAAGTGCACAACGTAAAAATTAAGGAGACTACCAAAAGGTATGTTTCCAAATGAAAAGGCTTAATGTGAACCTTCTGAATCAATATTTAACTATCTAAAATATAAGTGCCTACGTTTCCACTAAGATATTTGCAGAAGTGCTGAGCATTACTGAGACCCTTCTCTGTGAGAAGCACGAGTTCAGCACCTTTGAAAAAAACAGTACGATATTAATTAGGTCTGATAGATGAATTTAAGACCCTAAGATATGAAATTATGAAAACATGTAATTTCCATATGATACACCTGGAAATATGAGAAATGGCAGTGGGGAGGAGAAGCTCAGAGAAAGTGACAAAGGAAAGAATAAAATCCACCCTAAATCCCACTGTAATCATTTAGAGAAATTAAGTGCAACATAAATTATAATATGCTATTTGGAATCTACTTTTTTTTAAAGTACTTCATTTACCAATTGCCTACTCCTGTACTGAATGTTCACTGAGTTTATTACATTGCACTTTATAAATATGTGAAAAGAAAAAAATTATGAAATGCTGCCTATACTTAGAAAAAAGCTTGAAAATCATGTTCTTATTTTCTGATCTATGTTTCTTTAAGTCATACAATGTATCTTTGCAGAACTAAGTGAAGTATAAAACTAGAGATTAATGTCATTACACTTGGAAATACAAACTGTTGTAATAAAATGAAGACATAGATTTTTCCCTCCAGGTTAATTTGAATAGTTTTCACTCTCTTTAGTGGAGCGTTTTGCTTTTAATTGCACAGTAGCATGTCTGGCTTGTAGTCTATATCCAAGGAAACAATTTCATTTGACCTTCAATAGATAATATCAGAATTCATTTCTAATAATGTTGGGTATTCTTCTCTGAGTTAGAGTGACATAAAAATATTTCTTTTTTGAGCTATAATTTTATCCATTTTCAGATTATTCTTTATGAAAAGGAAACTGATAAAATATGCTCTTTTCTTTTTCTTCCTTAATCTCTCCTCATATGTCTCATTTTTCCTTTGTTCCCTGCATATCTTCCTCATATTCTGCCTTCCAAAGGCTAGGAAAAGGCTGTCTCTAGTCAAATATTCTCAGCACTGCTATTACATACCACGTACATACTCTTTCATTTAAAAGATTTTTTTGAACTCTTCGTTTCCTAAGTGAATGCACAAAAGAATATTTTTCTAGCTTCTTAGAAAAAAATGAAATTGTCTACATTGACAGAATCAGCACTCAGGTTCTGAAGCAATAGACTAATCATCCTTTAAAAGTGCTGCTTTTTTTGCCTTTGTTCTCCACTTCCCCCCTCCCTCCCTGCACATGTGCTGTAAAAGTAAATCATTTCACAAACGTCAGACATTAATAAAAACACTTCCATGTTTGTAGTGAATTGGATTTTAAATGAAAAATGAAAACTTTTTTTTTTATAAATAGTTCAATCAACTTTTGTCTGGATAAGAAAGAAAGTTTTTGACCAAATCACGTATAATCATACACATACATCGTCCCCCTGCAATTAATTTGAGAAGCTCTTGTAAGCTTCTTTTTTTCTGACATAATCCATGTCCCACACATAAAAACTACAACTGCCTTTAATAATACCACTTTCAAAAGTCACATCCTTAATGAATCAAAGAATGGTGGGTATGCACAAGTACATATCATTTCTAAATCAATCAAAATGTGTTAATTGTAACTTCCTCTGTCACCCAAGTCAGTCTCACTTACCTGTCTACCGACAATAAACATCCAAGAAGCACCAGTGACAAAAGAAATAGTCCAATAAACAAAATACAGCAAGAAAGGGCTGCTTCTAATTTTAAAATAAGTTAAACAATATTAAAAAGTACAACAGAGGTTCCAAGCAACTAGTAGTTGCAGACATTATGAAGGCTATTTTCAAAGTCAAAGTACTTTCAGAGTCTTGGAGGAGCAAAGACAGAAGACAACAGCTTGCATTCACAATCAAACTCACTAAGTTTATTACTCAGTAAGAATTTCTAGGAGATAGACCCCAAAATATCTCAAGAATTGAACAAAGTAAATACCATATGACTTAAATAAGGAACATATCTCAAAGCATATCTTTAATAAACATTTATTATGTGCTTATAAAGAGTATTTACATATAAACTTTGAAGTATACTCTCTGTATCTCTGCATCAGTACACGAAAATTACTGTTGATTTTGAGAACACAAGAATTTTATTGATATGAATTATGTTATTCTGCACAGTGCGAAAGCATGGATTGAAAACTAGCTTTCATAACAACATTGGGTTTTGAAACTCAAAACAAAAGTATATTTTTTCATGTAATTATAGTTGAACATTCTGTTAAAAGAACCATATATTTACAAGTTCTCTGATTGTATGCTGCTGTATTTCATCCATAAAATTCACTAGATTTCTTTAACGAACCACAATATTTCATATTCCTTATAGCTAGCACCTTAGAAGTTTTATCATTATTTTGACTATTGGAACCCCAAACATATACAATATTTTAATTACTAAATTAAATTACTACTTTTTATGTTGTTATAGAAAAAATGTTTTACAAACATTTTATAAGAAATAGAACTATAAATCAATTGTACCATTTTCAAAAGTAATTTAGGACTCCAAATTATTTTTCAGCATTTCATTTATAATGAATAAACATTTTTGAAGTGCTTCAAATTACTATTCACAATTCTTGCTGAGGATTTGAAAGGGTTCTATTTTATTTGCTTTATTTAATGCAAATACCATCAAAAATAAGGAGGAAAGAAAAACAAGCTTCCATTGCTGGGCCTCGATGGCTTTCCTAATTTGAAGTTATATGCAACAGTCAGATCCTGAAACTCTAACTGCTATGAAGTTTGTCACTCTCTAAGCTTCACAAGTTTTGTGTCTTCTTCTTCTCCTTAACCTTCAGTCTTACTGTTAATATTTCGCATTATTCCTCACCTGCCAAGCTTCTTCAGTAGTGTTTTTTATTCAACTTTTTCTGGGTTTGTAAAACTATTCCCTCTTCTATATTTTTGACTATATTCGCCTGCAGATGGTAACCCAAAATGTTCCTTCCGACATATTACTGGGCCAAGCAATATTCAACAAGGTGCATAATTCTGGGGAAAGCTTATGCTACTTTGAGATTAGCGGAACCAGTGAAAATAAAATAAAATACAGTAAACCAACCACAACAAACCAACCAAAAAACCCCAAGAAACCAAAATACCACCCAACCAAACAAATCAACCAAACCCATATTATTCCCCCCTCCACCAGCTGGACCTCTTTAGACACATTTAGATTTTCAGAAAAGTTTTCTCTTTTACTTTCCTGTTTTGTCTGATCGACTTGTGAGCTACAATTCTCACTTTAAGGACAAAATATACAAAGACTTGGCTTCCTTCACTGCGGGTCAAAAATCATCAATCATAATTTTGAAGTAAACAGTTAAAATAGGCACTCATTTCAGGGAGTATTTTGTATTCAGTTTGGCAACGTTCCTAAAGCTTCCAAAGCTTTTGTTGTTTTATTTGCTGTATATAGCAAATCTGCTACTGAGTCATGGCATAGTGACATATATAATAAAAAGCCCATGTTAGAGTACACAAACAATTTGACTTCTTTTTTGTTCTATATTGGATAGCGATACGATGTACGGCCACATTAACTACTTGGTGCTATATTCCAACATACATTAACTAATTTAAACTGTAATATTTGAAAGGTTCCACCAATGTGCAGCCAATTATCCACGTGGGCAATTAGAATCATATATACTCACATTTAAGAGCTGAATCATTAAATCCAGAGCTGCTGGTGTTTTTATTGAATGGAATCAAAACACCGGGTGGTCAGCTTTTCACAGACTTCACACCGTGGCTCCAGCATGTGGTTCTGCATAATATGAGATAGGATTGGTCATTTTTACATTTTTGTTAAGTCACAGGAAATTCAGAGTTATAAAAGTCACTATTTGAAGATTAGTTGTAGCTTTTTTTTTTTTTAAGGCGACTAACCATTTGTGCCTTGGTTAAATGAATTTTTTATAAGTTATAATTTTAAAGACAGTAATTGTAATAAATTATAGAAGACAATATTTCAATTAATGTTTACTTATGTAAACCCCATTGCTTTTTGTACAAAGCAGGGTTCCATGAAATTTCATTCAAACAGTTCCATACTTTAATTCAAACCTATTTTACTTCTCTGTCAAATTTGGTGGCACATCTGTTTGCCATGAGGGAACATGCAAAGGTATGAAAATATATATTATTATCATAATACAGAGAAATATCAGCCTTCAAGTAAGAAGGCATCTAACTTCCAGCTTTCTCCTTTAGACAGTGAAAAAAAAGCACCAAGATATGCACATTGCAGGCACATATTATCATCTGGACTAGGAGGTAATGGAAAGAGTTGGAAAGAAGTGTAGTGTGGCAGCTTTGCAGACAGCTGAGCTGACATAAAGACTTGTTGTCCCTTGTTTTCCCTGTCTTTCTGTATTTGCTCCCAACCCTCTCATTTCACTCCTTTGCAATGAGTGTGGAACTGACTCCAGGAATCAATTCAACTCAACAGCCAAGGAAAAAAATGTATAATTAGTTTTGGTCAGAACATTTTTCCACCAGGTTGGTGATTGCAAGTGCCTTGAGTCAGTACCAAGTTTGAGGCAGAAATCAACAATAACAAACCAACCAAACAAACCCCACAAACAAATCAACCAACAAACAACAACAACAACAACAACAACAAAACACCTGACAAAAACAAGAGAGTTTGACCACAGGAAGAGATGGGAAGAAGTGGCCAGGGAACCAGGATCTTCCAAAAACAAGCAAACACTTCAACATGTTCACCTCACGATATGAAGCTGCATCTTGGGCTGCCTGATATCATGACAAAAGAAGGTATAGAGGAAAGGGTAGTCACAGCAAGCAGTGACTGGTGACTTTAGATGCCAAATATCTCCCAAAATTGCTATACTTATTTGTGCGGAAAAATGAGGTCAAACACCATTTGTAGTGTTCACAACGTTTGGAGCAATGGAGGTTCCTCTTCAATGGTGTTCAAACACAAAGTTTTTCCCAAGGTGATGCTCAGCACCCTGGAAGCTGGCAAACAAGAAGTGTGCAGGGACATCACTAGATCTGGTTTAGTAACCTGAATGACATGACTGCTGGAGGACCTAAGGAGTGCAGGAGAAAGCAGCCCAAGTACCCATGCTCCCATGAACATGTAGATGCCCTTGGGAGAACAAAGGACTAAAGCATTCTAGTATATCTCATTGTCTCATTTGAGTGATCCCCATTGCCCTGGATCACCCTCACTACTGAGCAACCATAGTGTAAGGCTGGATACTTCTCTGAATTGAGCCCTCAGCATATGTGTTGGAAGATATTCTGTTACATGAGAATTGTTTTGCTCATTACCATAACAAAGTCCCTGCTCAGGCTGTCTCCAGTACTAGTAAGTTGCTACAGCTCAGTGGGAAAAAAAAAAGATACAGTACATTTTAAAAATCTTTCCAAAATATCTCTATTGAATTTTCCAGAGTTCAAAATACTAAACAAATAAAGAGCTTGCATGCATTTACATTAATAAAAAGAGGAGGGGTTTTTTTCCTTGTTATAATTACCTCTTATATTACAAAGGGGAGGAAAAGGAGATTTCTACGTCTGTATTCCCATATATAAATACTACATAAATTAACTACCATTTTTCCAAACGTGTCAGTTCCTACTGAGAATTTCTGAGTTTAGAGAGACCTTCCTTGGAGGCGAGCATAATTAGATCTGAAAATAACTAATACTTTTTTACTGAAAGATTTCATATAAAATATTCCAGATTTTTTCACAGAAACTGCTAGTTTTTCTATTATCTTTAGAAATATATGTAATAATGACAACAGTTATTATTGCTAATGTACTTTAATGCTGCAGAAGGGCAAACAGAACTAAATTACAGCAACCTATTTCAGAAAGCTATTGTCTTCCTCTCCTAACAATATAAATGGAAGGCAATTACACACAACTAATCAATGATGAACACTAGCTATTCTCATGAAATACTGAAAAGCTTTATAAAAAGGAAACAAGACAGAAGGAAACATCTCTTTAAGAAATAGTTGTGATGATGCACCAGTCTATGCTATGCTTTATAAACTGCACAAGGAATGCCAACGTGCACTTTGGTAAGAAGAAGTGAATTGCTTACTGTGTGCATTCTGCCATCTATTTTTGCCCAGTGAGGGCAGGACACCCCGCCCCGTGGGACTTGGGTCATATTATCTCCCGTGTTCTTCTTGTGGCAGGACTTGCCACAATAGAGTCTGCTATTCTTATTAAAAATAACTTCCAATAGTAGACTCCCAACAGCAATTGGAAGACCTGTTTCCACACTGCCTCTCCCCTTAGAACTCCTGCCCAGGTGTATCGTACCTAACATCTGCATTCCTACAGTCCAGATCCTCTAAGGTTTACAAATCCAGAACAGGGTGGTAGCCAGGTTTCCAAGATGCACAAAAGATAGTCTCTCTTCCCAACACTACCTCCCTAAATATTGTGAAGCAGTAATAAAATCTACTTACAAGCGAAATTGTTTGACTCTTTCAGTACTGAATCAGGACAGAGCAGGGAAGAGATGTATACTTCATTGCCTAACCTCAAAACCTCACAGCAGCTACTGAGGTCTTTGCAAGCTCTGAGCTACTGACGTTGCTCTGTGTCCCCTATCAAAACAGATTACCCGACTGACACCAGGCAGCTTATGGAAACCCTACTTTACATCAGACAATTCCAAAATCACTGCCTAAATTGTGATAGTGCAAAGAGAACAAGCACTCTCCCTCTGTTATAGGGGAGGAAAGGAATGGGAAGTGGAGGCAGCGCTGGATGGAACAGGAGTCAGGTTTCCAGTCTCCTTCAGCTCCCAAAAGTTATGTCATGACCAGAGCACATGGAGTATATCTAGGAGAAACTGTAACTCCTGGAAATCTGGCAAAAATCCAAGCAAGTATGTCCTGCATACCTGTGGAGAAGGAAGACAGTCTTCAAGAAAATGCTAAGAATTTGAGTTCTATTGTAGTGTTAAGGGTAGTGGTTACTATCTATCTTGAAATGTAGAATCAGCCAAAATTTAAATGAATTTCAGAAATTAAGGGAAGTATCCCATTAGGTCAATAACCTGTGTAAACAGTCATTTAAATAATCCCACTAAAAAAAAAGAAAGTAACATTACTTAAAATATTTTTCATTTGCAAGAACATCAATTGCCTAGTTAAGAAAAAGCATGAGTCACTATGATCACAGACACAGAAATGTTCTAGCCACAGCAAAGTACCGTAGCACTGAATATCCTTTTCTGAATTCAAATTAAAGCAATAAAGTAACACGGATAAAAAATGCTTTGTTCAAAGTCTTCATCTACATATATCAAGCATACTTTGCTAAAATATTTACTGGGAAATTTGAAATTTAAGCTTCTTTGCTTCAAATCTCTAAGCTCTTGTTCAAACCTGTATGATGTACTTAACTGAAAAAAATGCAAAGGCTCAGTGAGGCTTCATGATGGGAACTAAGCACAAAATAATGAGCAATGTCCACGACCATTAAAATACAGGCCACATCACTCAATAACAAGCACCCAGAACTTGCATCCTTGTTGTGCATATAGCCCCAGTCACTAGCTCATTGGGCACTGGAGTTGAGATTGTGTATTTGCAAATTTTGTAGCAAGAAGAGCATCCTAAGCATAAGCGCTAACCACAGCTGCATTTAATGGTCCTCCTACTGTACCACTGTCTGATGCCACCACTTCCTTAGCTGAAATGATTTCTCTCTAAAGATGAATCACTAGTGTCATTATTTCAACCTTGCTAGCCCTTTTTTGTACCTCATGGATAGACTGGTTGCAATTTACAATTTTATATAATTGCTTGACAAAGCAAAATCCACGTGAAAGCCAGGGCAGAGAGTTACGTCCTCAAGTAAAAAGTAGCAGCAACGTCTAAAGGCAAGGCACAGTTCCTCATTCAAGTTTACCATTACACTATCCAACTCCTCCTTTATCTTGAGCACTTCCCAGAACAGGCATCCTGACATTATAGTCTCATGCAGAATATAATAAATACTATCTGTCATGAGGGTATAAGTCCCAAAGCCATATTACTTAAGATGGATCCATCTTTCCTGGAAAGCTCTGTTATTCAAAGCACAGGCTACCACTTCCACTGGTACTTTGGCATCAAAATTCTAATCAGCTTCAACGAAAGCTAACACGTTTGACAGTAGCACAAAGAAAATTTCCTTCCAAAGCACTTGTTACATCATGTTTTGTTGAACAGGCAGGAGAAACATTTCCAGTGAGGAGTTTATTCAAACAAGAATGTCACCTTAATGTTTTTTTCCTCAGCTGTAATTATCACAGATTCATTCTCCATTTTCAATGGTGCTTTAGCCACAGGTTCAAAAACATTTGCTGTTTACTTGATGACCAGATCTAGGGTTGGGAAAGCTGCTTCTAGCCATAAAAAAACCCTTGAAACTATCAATAACCAGAAGTTTCAACTTATCATGGGAAAAGTAAACATTTTACAGAAGAGCCACATGACAATCATTGCTATTCATGAATAGCATCTTGAACATCTGTGGGTTTTATGATATTTGCTTTCTGTAAACACCTTCTGAAAAAAAATCTCAATCAAAAACATTTTTAAAGTGGTGTGCTTTTTAAAAAAATAAAACAGGGTAGAGGAATAGAAAAAAATCTGGTTTTATTCATTTTGGTTCATGTAATCACTTCTAATATGATGCTGCTGCAACATTAATTCCTCTCATGATATGACTTTGTGTTTTATTACTCTCCACCTCGGGCTTTTTTGAACATATATCTGTCAATTTTGTTGCAATTGCAATTCAACTAAAAAGCATTGCAAAAACAGGTTATAAGCCAATTAGAAAAGTTTATACAAGAAGTAAAACTTCCTTAATGAATAATTTAGGGTAAATTAATATAATTTAAGAAAAATTATTTGTTTTGAAACTAAGCAAAGAAAGGAATGTGGAAAAAAAAAATGAGGATATAAGTTGCAGCAAATATCTGCTGTGAACAGCTTCTTAGAACAACCAGTCAGGTTATATAAAAATTGTGAATACTGTCAAAAAGAATCAGTATTTAGGTTTGACAGAAAAATGGGCAGGTGGGGTGGGTTTGGTTTGTTTGGGGTTTTCCCCCTTTTTACATCTGCCAGGAGAGACTTTTTAACACTTGAAATTGTCTGCAATTAAACATAACATAAAACCAGATTTTATTACTGGTCCATGGAAATAAGCCGAAATTCCCAGAGAGGCTGTAACTTTTCAACAGCCTCATGTGAGTGCAGAGAAATAGTCATAACCATTTCTCCGACAGATTGGGCAAGAGCTGCCAAAACCCCAAAGGAAAAGCATTTTGTTTATATCAGCCCCAACTCAGCACGTGGAAAATACAGCTGCAGAGTTAGTTCTCCTGGTCCTCCAGTTTCACACCCCTGTGGACAAAACCAGCCAAATTAAATTTGTGGAGTCACCACCAGAAGCTTAATGAAGCAGAACAGATCTCTCAGCTTGTGGAGAGAAAAAGGCTGGGCTGCTAGCAAGGGGAGGCAGGAGATTCCAGAGCTCTTAAGTCCTCCGAAAGCCTCCTTCCCTCACTTCATAAAAACATCATCCAAAGTCCAGCTTTTCAGGGCAACCCCAAGAACATGTCTGTTAGGCTACCCTTGGGAAAAATGACTCAAACCTGTAACTCTTGTGGCCGGCTCGCCCACACCCTCTGCATGAGGGCCACTCTGCATTGGCAGTTCTATTTTCCATGGAAGCACTTTCCTGCCACCTGTCTGAAGCATGGCAGGGGGACCTGTGGCAATTGTGGCAGTGGGAGAGAGGAGGAGCTGCCAGAGGAGAAGGCCTTGGTGGCCTGGCCAGGCAGCTGCCATGCCGCATCACTCCTTTGGCTCCAGGTGTCAAATCCCAACAAGGAGCATATTCAGCCTGTGGCTCCCTCCACAGGCTGCCACCGGGCTGGGGTATGGGGCCAGCACTGGGGAACAGGGGCTTGGCAGCTGCAGGTTCCTGACAAAAATCAAGACACCCCTTGCTCTCCCCGAGAAAAGCAAAACTTTCCAACGTGGCAATAGGGAGGGAAGCAGAGAGAGTACTTCAGTACTCAGCACCTACTAAAGTGATGGCATCCCACTGGAGAACTATTCAAATGAGCTCTTTCAACCAATCCTTCAGCCTACAGACCACCACTTACAGCAATTTTTTTTTTTCTTAAGCTAAAGTAACTGAATAACTGGTTTGTTCTGCTCTGAGAATTTGCTCCATGTCCTCATTTTTTCACTACCGCTGACCCGTCCTAGAGCCAGGTAGCCCTAAAGGGAACAGTCATGATGTTGTAATCTCCACAAGCAGTTTTACTTGCACTTACCCCTGGTCTGATACCTCACTGGAAGGTGAACTCTTGAGATGGCAGGACAGTCCAGTTATATCTTCTCACTCCACCCCATCACCCTGCTCTGCTTCCCCTAATAGCAGGGAGAATGAGGACAGGAAAGAGTCCAACATCTGACATGATGTCACAGAAAACTTTTCCATTAATTGCAGAAATTGCCATACTTCCTCACTCAAAATACAAGTGCAATTACTTTTTTCAGAATGGTCATCCTCACCTCACCATCACTTCATTAGCCCTGTCAGCACACATGTCACCTCTTTAGCAGCTTGTAATGGGAACAGTAGAGCCAGCAAGGAAACACTAGGGCGAGTAACATGCCTGTCCTCTGAGCTTATCCTGACCCTCTGTCTATCTGCTGGTTACTGAGCTCTGTCACAGAAGCTGTTGCTGCTGTGCTTTTGGCAGGTGAAATATGCCACTGCTACACCAAATGCAAAGCCCTTCTGCACAGTGCAAAGAGCAGGCAGATTGCAGAGCAATCATTACCATTGCTGGTGAAATTTCTTATAATCCAACTGGGTTAACGTGGGCTTAATTAAAAAAAAAAAAAAAAAAAAAGTCTGTTATTCTCCTATTTGCAAAGTGAATCAACTGAAAGATAAACCTTAAACTCTGGCAAATGGGGGTCATCAGCCTCACATGGGGTACAGCATGTCACATGAAGGGACTCACTTCTGTTATGTGTCTCTGCCTAGCAGTTGCCACAGGAATTCACACATACCTGAGACCAATCTTAAAAAAAGAATAGCATGAGTTTATAAACCCTAATAATCTCTGAATTGTTTTAATATCTTAAGTGATAGGTTTTCCTGTATTGCTTTTACCTTTTGGAGGTCAGGTTTTAGTTCTTGGGAGGTCAGAACTGTTCCACTCATGAAGCTGCAGTCACTCACAGTTTCATTGTTTTATTTCAATTCTAGATTTACTCTCCTGGCTTTTACTAGCAGACAGATGAGACTGTGAATATAATGTGGTACAGATTCCATCCTACTGTTTCGGTACCTGAATATCAGAATGTCACACCCTTGATGCTGCTATATATGCCTATTTGCAAGCCTCACGGGTGGCGATAGGATCTTTCCACTGAAGGTGTCAAACCACATAGAATATTCATCTCTCTGCCAGTGTCCAGCATATGATTTGGTAACTGCTTTCTCTACCCAATAACATTTGTCACTGAGTACAGAGAATTTTTTTTTTCTTTTAACTAAGTTGGTTAATATTTTTTCAAGCATCGGCATTTGATTGTGACTCTCTAGCACTGGAATTGCTTAGATCTACCAAGTCTAAAATGTCTTCTCTGTGGCTATGAGGGAACATATCCAACTTTTTTAGCACTGCCACTCCAGCAATGCCACTGTCTCTTTTTGTCTTGCACACATGCAGTGGTTTTTCACTTACTCTCCAAGATAGATACTTTATTGACCAAATAATTTTTCTCTTTAATTTATGAGGCTACTATAGAAATCAGTTGCTCTATATTTAATGCCTTCTTGGTGCTACTACTTGAAATCCTCAGCTAGGAAAATTTTCTTTGGCATTCTGGATGCAATTTGCCATCTCTGAGGTGTTATTTTATTCATGACAACTGTATCATGACAAATGAGCTGTTCTCCTGCTGGTTTTTTTTTTTTCCTCATGCATAAAGCTTACAAAGTCTTGTTTGGGAATTCCCTGCTACCAAATTTATTTTTTGATTGTGAATTGTTGCTTTCCTATTATAGTCCAAGTGACAAATAGCAAGTTATTTTTGCTGTTACCCATTGCCTTAATGTTTTATGACTGCAAAATCACTCTCTTTGAGAAACTCAATTTCTTGTATCCCACTGCATTTTTCCCCCCAGTAGTTTCATTATAATGGTTTTCTCTCCAAGCTTTTCAGGAGTCATTTGAAAAAATTTCCACAGAGGTTGTGCTGGTTCCATTCTTCATTTACATGGGTAAATTCATTAACTTTGCACATCTTAACAGCACTTAGTAAATTTAGCATACACTATTTTACCTTTCCCCTTTGAGATCTTCCATATTTCATACTTTTTTTCCCCTCTAAAGTACCACAGATGAGTTCCTCATTTGGTTGACGTTACTCTCTGATCTTTTGAACAAACCCAAAACCTGAGTAGCCAAAATAGACACCATGTATAATTTTTGTAGTGTCTGCAGGTGTCCCTTCATCCTTCACAGCAGTGAAAATAGTCAAAGTGGCAGAACACCACAGTACAAAAAGAAGATCATGCAGTAGGTGGTACACACAGTACATGTATAACATAAAAGTGTTTCCTATAAAGGTGCCCTATAAAAGAAAGAGCTCTTTATAGTTCTAGAGTTTTACTAAGCACTCTTGATATCAACACAAGGTGTCTATAAAATATGCTATTACTTCTAGATTTAGGAAGACAGTGCCACTTGGTTTCTTCTAGCCTTTTTAATTGCCTTTGAGGCATGACACCTCTTGGCTTGAAGAGGGAGATCCTTAAGGACTAAGGATGAGTGTTTGGCTAAGGGAAACTCCTTAGTTTACAACCATCTATTCCTCCAGCATTTTCTCCTTCAGGTCACAACATTCACCATCACCTTGTCCTCAGACAACTACTTTTTTATCTTAGGCATTAAAACAGTCAGATCCACTGTGTGTCTTGCCCAAAACCTAAACTCTGCTGGAACTATCTTGAGTACATCTGCTTTCTCAGGGGGAATTCTCTACAGAATAATTTCTCTAATGTTACCTTGGCATCAGAAGACAACTGAAACACATGACTTAGGAACAAAGAGAGAAAAGTCAAGTGGTACGACTGCTTTGCAGCCCTCTTATACCACTAACACACAGCAAGTGAAAAAACCAACCCACACTTCCCTAACTATGTGTCTCCAAAGGAACTGATTTCCCAAGCAAACAAAGGCAAAATTCAGTTTCTACATTCTCAGTTGACCAAAAATTCAGGAGATTTTACTTATTTTCTGGTTTGATTTGTCTCACATGACCTCGATCACTCAAAATTGGTATGATGTCTGAGTCTTAATTTCAACTGAGCAAAGTCTTAGAGACCAAGTTCTGCACTCTCAGGGCAAAGCAAAAGTAACAACAGTCCTGGTCTGCTTGCACAATGTATGGTGGTTTTGCCTTGGTTGAAAATATTTTTTCAAGATTCCTTTTCAACAAAAGCTGTAAAGTTATGTGTTTTCATAAACTATAAAGAAGCAGCTCTTTAAACTGTAGTAATTTACTAGATCTGGCAATGCAAGTAGGAAAGCATCTTGAGCCACAAGGAGATTAGGCATTATAAATATTTTCTCATTGTCTCCTTGCTAAAAAGCTGTTCACTCAATGCAAAAGCATGTGCACCATCAGCAAGTTCAGTACCTCAGAGAAAACAATGCACTAAAATGCAGTTTGGAATAACTGATTTTATATTCTGCTATAATATCTTTTCACAATGTGAAAGATCCTAAAGTTAAGGCTAGTTTGCTTTTGGTCACATAAGCTTCCACATAAATGTCAGTAATCAACTATTGCTCAACTCATTTCTGTGAAGGAGTCCTTGCCCTGTGGCAGGGAAAGGAGTCTTGCTATCCCTCTTGGTTTTCTAGTTACCCTGTGGAGAGCAGATTTCCCTCACTGTCAGAGTAGCACTTACAAAGTTTTCAAAACCTAAAGAGTCTCTCAAAGGCATGCCTCAATTTCCTCACTCACTATCCAAAATGCTCTTATGTCTGGGTCTTGGCCAGCTTCCTCAACATAAGGAAGACCTTCTTGACATGTTCCAAAACACTCACCGAATTCCTCTCAAGAGAGGCTGCTCCCAAGTTCTTTCCTGGCTCCAGCAAACCAAGTGCCAAGAAGAGCTGCTACAGGGTCCTATGCCCATCTTGGACCTCAACAAGCATCTCTGCCCACCCCCCACATCATCTTCCCACCCCACCCATCGGAAACTGCTCCCAACCTTATCTTCTCACCTATTCATTTTTGAAAGGACCACCTCTAGGCACACAATGTGCTTTCTTTGGACTTATTGCCTGTTAGAAAGACCTTGCACTCATAGAGATAATTAAATGGGCAATGAGGGCTCAATATTTAACACATCTGATCATAGAAAGCCTTTTAGTCTTTGCAAAGAAGAGAAAATACCGGAATTTGAAAATATTAAACTAAAGGGAGAACTATTTCTCTCCACACTTAGAGTAAGATCAACAATGTGTCATACATGTCCCATTGGACAATCTAAGCTGTTTCTGAAGCCTGGCAAACTTTATACAGACACAGCAGCCTGCAAAACCATTGCAGGATTGGGCCAAGGTCTGCCTGCAAGTTTCCTTCAAAACAAGGTTGAAACTCTAGAACTGAGCCTTCTAGACCAAAGCTGAACAGGTATTCCAAAATAAAGATTGGGAAAAAAATATGAAGTCACCAATACATAATTGCTGTAATTTACTAACACTAAAATTATCTCCAGTAACCTCAGGTAAGTACCTTGACAATCTTTGCTAATCAGAGTTCAAAATGTGACACGGTCACAAGCATCTCAGCAAACTTATTGTCAACTGTTTTTTATCAGATGCAGCATTAACAGAGCCACAGTCACTGTCACAACTGAAATGCGTGGGAAGATCAAAACCATTTAAAAGTAAGCCAAGCCAAGGCATTTTACTGCAGTAAGACCAAGCAGTGTCATAACATGCAATTCCCAAAGCGTTGCCCTCTCCCGTTTGAGAACTGACTTCAGAAAAGGATTAGGCTCAAAAAAAGGTTTTTTGCATGCCTTTGACCCTCCATGGAAACAGAGAAGGCAGTCCCCTAGGGAAAACCCTGGGTTTTTCAGACATTTTTCCTATGCCTATTCATGGCCTAACCCCTGCCCGGGGAACACCTCATGTTGCACTTGGCCAGGTGCGCCACAACCTCTGCACACAACACAGAGGAGACCCTGAAAGCACCAGCAAGTGGCCTGGGTGAAAGCACCAACCACTGCAAGTGTTCAGGAAAATCTGAAATCAGCAACGTTTAGCAATGCCCCACATCTATGCCTCTCTCTCAGGCGTTACTGTGACTTCTATTTGGACTGCAGGAAAATATT